AGGATGTCAGTGCATCAGTGATCCGTGATGCACTGGTCATCAGTGTTCCAGTGACGTCAGTGTCAGTGTGTTTGATATTTCAGTGCTCAGTGACACTGAGTCTATCAGTGTGCACTGAGCGTCGCTGTCGGTGACGAAAGTGTCGGTTTTTTCGGTTTTGTCACTGACACCGCACATCCCTACACATTACCGATGTTGTTGTAGGAAGAGGCAAAATCGGGATGATTCGGAGGAAGAACTATTTTTAGAATTTCAAGTGATCGTTCATGCGATGAAAGTGCTTTAGAATACTCGCCCATGTTATAATACACATTACCGATGTTTAGGTAGGACGCAGACAAGTCGGGATGATTCAGAGGAAGACCTATTTTCTTGATTTCAAGTGATCGTTCATACGATGAAAGTGCTTTAGAATACTCGCCCATGTTATAATACACATTACCGATGTTGTTGTAGGAAGAGGCCAAATCAGGATGAGTCGGAGGAAGAGCTTTTCTTCGGATTTCAAGTGATCGTTCATACGATGAAAGTGCTTTAGAGTACTCGCCCATGTTATAATACGCATTACCTATACTTTGGTAGGAAGAAGCCAAGTCAGGATGATTCGGAGGAAGAGCTGGTTTTCGAATTTCAAGTGATGGTTCATACGATGAAAGTGCTTTCGAGTACTCGCCCATGTTTTCATACACCAAACCGATGTTGTTGTAGGAGGAAGCCAAATCGGGATGATTTGGAGGAAGAGCTATTTTTTGAATTTCAAGTGATCGTTCATGTGATGAAAGTGCTTTTGAGTACTTGCCCATGTTATAATATACACTACCGATATTTAGGTAGGAACCAGCCAAATCGGGATGATTCGGAGGAAGAGCTATTTTTCGAATTTCGAGTGATCGTTCATGCGATGAAAGTGCTTTAGAGTAGTCGCCAATTTCACGCTACACACTACCGATGTTGTTGTAGGACATAGCCAAGTCGGGATGATTCGGAGGAAGAATTTTTTCGTTGATACGGAGTGTTTTTACGTAAAATGCAAGTGCATCTGAGTATTCGCCCATATTATAATACACCCATCCAAGTTGATGATTGTATTTCGCCAGATCTTCATCCGAAGATGCTTTTTCTAGGAGAATTTCGTAGAGTTGTTTTGCTTTGGCAGACTCACCCAGTTTAATAAATATGTAACCAAGTCGAGACCATCCGGTTGTCCTCTTCACATCATCGCGTAAATGTGCTGTGAGATTGTTTAATTCGTTATCATCATTACCCACAAGAGTAAGATTGGCTTGCCATAGTCGATTATTGTGAGCATCTAGGATTTGTTCGATACTATCAATTCTAAATACAGTATGTGTTGTGAAAAGAATTTCAGTTTCATTATCTTTGAAGTAGCCTTCGTCTTTAACTGTGACGAAAGGAATAGATGATTTTGAACATATTCCGGGATCGATATTCATAATGAAGAGAATGTCGGCCCTATTGGAATTTTCTATTGCTCCTAGGTGCGCATATTGGAGGGATAGTTCACGTTGTTGACTTGTTGAGAGGAAGTTATTAAATGACATAAGTCCTCCTATGGTTTGTTTCATTTTATCGAAATTTTCTTGTGACAGCCCTTGTCCACGATATACTGTGAATGATCCCGTGGCTTTTAAACTAGATTGCTGTTGTTCTGGATGTAACTTTTCAATATCGCGGTGTAAATCACGAATAAAGAAGCTCATTTTCAAAATGATGTCGACGTCCATCATTCGAAGACCACGATTGAGCATGGAATATATAAAAAATGGGGCTGTGTACCACCATATTGATGAATGATCACGATATTCTTTCTCAAGCAGTTGAATGTTTTTTTCGGAAGCATCGCTGTAAAGGCGACAGTATTCAGCAAGTTCTTTAATTGCTCTTGTGTCGTCATCAGCTATATCCAAAAGTGCTTCTTTTAACAACAGCGTATACATAAATAAAGCATCAATGCCATGATAACTGATCGAAATCATAGTTTGATCACATATTTTAGGATTCATTTGTAATGCTGTACAAATATCTTCGATTTGTGTGTATATACCTTTCATCTTTGGAAGTGTTTGGGCCCAAGACTGATGAACAGATTGATTAACAGAGAAGACATAAATGGAGTCTAATTGTGGGCATGCTACAATTTCTGGTATTATGATGCGTCGACTCAGTGAACCAGAAACAATCATGAAGACTTTTTCATCTTGAATGTCAGTGAGAAAGTCGATACATTGATCGATATCTGTAAATGGGATTAATGNATATACGGGCCACAAGACCTATATGTGGGCAAAATTTCAGGTCGAAACTCCTTAATTTGATTTTTCGGTAAATATCGTATCATAGGTGATAAACCCAGTAAAATGACCATAACTCGGGAAGAAAGGCCCATGGGCCCCTGTCCTTTTGGGCTTTTTCTAATCTCATTGGACTCTACTTATGGGCAAAATATCGGCTTAAAAGCTTTGAATCACTTCGAACGGTTCCCTCGTTAGTTTCCTAAAGAAGATGAAAAAATATTTTTCTTCGATTTATAAATACCAGTGTAATCTCCAATTAAATCTATTCATACACGGCATCTCGGCATGATCTCAGTCTTGAAGAAAAAATGAATTCGATCAAAGAGAGAGAACGTGGCCTGTTATATCGTGAACTTAGTGATAAGTTCTAAGTGCATCATTCAGTTACAATCGAAATTCATTGATATATTATTGGATTCAAATATTTCGAAGCAACGATCTGTTTGTGATTATTTCAACAAAGTGCCTGCGGTATCTATCGAAGCTCTTAGGACATCGAAAATTATGCATGTGTGATACTGAAAATAGAAGAGAAGTATTTGAATTCAATAAATGAGAATTGATTACTGAAAGAGAAGAAATTTGTTGAAAATCTTCATCTTTGCATAAATCCCCCTCCTAAGTGATGGCTCTGTGAATACCAACGGTGTTCATAATAGAGAGACGTTACTGTAGATGGTAAGGCTTCATTTTGGATGAAAAAAGAAAGAAATTTTCCGTGACACTGGTAATCATATAAAAGGGTGGGTGTGGGGTATGGAATACTATAGATTGATTCTGAACAAAAGTAATCGGAAGTGAAAAAAATGAGATCGTACCAACAAAAATCTAAAGACGAAAAAATGATTTGTTTTGTTGATATTTGCGTTTGAATTTTTACTACAACACCATGATGAATTTATAATGTCATATCTATATTTTTCCTTCATGCACAATAGAGTGTATAAATGGGCTAAGGGAGAACTCTCACTCAGAACCAGACGCATACTCTCACACCGTGCTTACAGTAAAATTGAACTTTTTCATTCTATTATTCAACAATCATTTTTGAAAAGAAACATTCGAGTTTAAGAGCGATTATGAAACTTATAATTGTTTTAGTAGCTAGAATATTGCAATATTGTAGATTGATCGATGTCATCAAATAAATAAAAATAAGTGTTCAATCACATTATGCTAAACATATCAATCAATGGATATGTGTTGATCACAACTTTATTATAAAGTATGTTTGGTATTGTAATCGAGAACAATATGTGAATAAATTTCATGAACATAAATCGATAAAATGAGTCGTAGTATGGTCTTTTTATTATATAACTATAAATGAGTTTTACCATTCAAATAAAATATCTTGTTTAAAAACGTTAATGATCTAGATTTTCAACTATGCAAACCAACTGTCATACTAATTAAAGAAAAATTTTAGAATTTTTATTGAAATAATTTATGTAAAAAATACACTATGTTTTCATCATTAACACGACAAGTCGAAAACAAATAAGACATGAACATGAAATTTCTGATTCTGATATAAGATACTAAAGCATCCTATCGTTAAATGTCTGTACGACAGAGAGAGATCTTAATGAAAGAAAAACTTATATTTGGAAGACTACGATGTTTGTTAGACCGTGTTCTATTATGATGAACAAAACAAAGACATCGCAAACTGAATTAGTTCATTTTTTCATACTCTAATTTTTGTGTCGCTTCAAGGAAATAATAACTGTTGTTATAAGTAGATATTCTATGATTTTTTATATTGTGGTGTATTTTCTATTCAAATGGAAATTATTTATTAGGAGTAATTCAAATTAACCAAGAAGAAAAAAATTTCAGAATATGTTTTATTAATAAAAAATTATTTTTTAACTAGGGCTGATTCAGACTGTGTATCCTAACCAAAACTATTATCTATCTAAATACATAGGGAGAAGAAAAAAAACGGGAGGAAACCGAAAATAGTTGACAACAATCAAAATCTGCTGCGTAGTGATATTATTTGATTTCGTTATACTGTAATACATTGATGAACACTCTGCTAAATAAATATACGCCATCGGATCTTTTACCAGTAAGAGATACTCTACATGGCATTGAAAAAGATCTTTATGAAAAATTTCTGCTTTAATATTTCTACCTAGTTAATCGTGTGGCACTTTTGACACTGGTTCACATGTCAGCTCTTTGCATTTTACTCTTCATTAAAAAATTGTTACTCGATTGTTCCATAATTTTTATGTATATAGAACTGATCCGACTTTTTTTCGATATCTCAAGTAATGGAATTCACCTTGACTTATCCCCCTGTTTTTTCCCTACATTCTAATTGCCAGCTGCTAAGAGATTTTCCCCAGAACTCTTATGTCTTTTCTCTGTGAAATTTCCCTTTATCGTGTTCTGACCAATAAGACAATGGACCACTCATGTATCATAGACAAGAAAGTGTTAGAAAAACTAGAGAAGTACCGCATTATTTTTTTTTTGTTCTGCAGCAGTTTGTTTTTCTGTCTTCCATTCACGTAACATGTATCGGTTGTCTCGGTAGATTTTTTCTTTGATATTCTTTATCGAAGAAAGATACAGTATAGAAAAAGAGAATGGACGAGCCTAGCAGCGAAGTTCTAACCTTAGTAAGCGACTCAAAATCGACTCTTTGGTCGAAAAAACGAGAGAACGTACCTTTGAACAGGTGTGAGCACAACGGAGCTTGTCGACTTGAAGATTCATGAGTATAAAGAATCGTCGAAGTACAGACACTAGTACATAGCTAGGGTTGAGTTTAAACAATCTTGCTAACAGTGTTCTCATTACTTCGACACTGTGTCTTTTCCTTCAAGCATGTTACTCATCTTGTGTGTTGTTTCTTCCATAAGACGAGAAAAAATTCGTATAATATATTTCGCTACTATTTTCCTCTTCTACATTATGTGGCATCGTCTAATGCAAGTTATACGCATTGTAGACATAGCTGATTAATCGACCTCAATGGATATATTTACCAACTGATATTCTATTACTATTTTATAGACAGTGATTTTTCTTTATAAAATGAGTGGAGAATTTGATTTTCGAGCATTGCTGCTCAAAATACAGGATATTCTATCTGACAACGATCGACATCGTTTTCATTTTCTTCTTGGTCAAGACATTCCCAAATATTTGCGCGATGATCCTTCACTTAGTGGAACGCTTCGTGTACTAGAATCTCTTTTCGAAAAGGCAATAATCAGCGATCAAGATTGTGATTACCTCATTAAAGCATTCAAGAAAATAAATTGTAATGATGCTGCAAAACGACTTCAAGGTTCGTTCCGTCTGTTTCTTACTACAATTCACATTTAACAAGCTTTTGATGTTTTTTTTTTCAGAATATCAGCTAGCATTGGAACATTTTAGTCAACGAAGTTGCTCACTTCAAGATATTCTTTTATTCGACAACGGGGATGAGAATAAGGTGTCATCGGCTAGTTCGTATCAGTAGAAGACTTTACTTTGTTTAAGATTAGAAATTTCGTTTCAGAAATCACGTGTGTCCCGTCTGATCTAAAGTCGCCTGTAAATTGTTCGGCCTTGTGTATAGATCTAAGTCTCGAAAGCAAACCGGCGAGTTCATCACTACCTGTGCATAGCGAAATGGAAGAACACACTCATGGATCTCGATGGACTCATCGAATATTCAAACGACCATTAAATACTCGTGAATGGATTTTACTTACCAGCAGTATTGTGATTCTGTTGAGCGTTCCGTTAGCGATTTATCTCTCAAGAATATTCACTCAACGTGTCATGGCAAAAGAGCTAGGTAAATTAATAGCTATTCCAATAATATGTCAGATAGTGACCGATGCAGAATATTTTTTGTAGGTATCATTCATCCTATTTGAGAAAGCCCTACTTAATACAGTGCCTAGTGCAGGACGAAATCTACTTCAGATTGGACAATGCTCATGAAATAAGTTGATAGTTGATTTGTCATTGGTTGGGAGGCGTTTCGATTGTAACTATGATGAGATATCACTCATGATATTGTAAAAAATCATCATTTTCGAGTTATTTCCTTGAATATTCATTTATTCAACGAAGAAGGAAAATTTTCTAATCCAATCGAACTTGAAAACATCATCACTACCGACTTCTATATTTGAATGACTCCTGTAACTAACAGAAATGTATATGTATATCATTTGAGTCGTATGCCGCATATCTAGATTTGAAAGTATAAATTTCAAAAGAGATAAATCTCCATGAATGAAACATGTAAAATTAGACTTTCCATCGATGAACATTCACTATCTACTCAAATTGTCACTCATGAAACCGCAATTGACTCTCCTTCACTACTTTTTATTTCCTTTTGTGTTCATAGACGAATACAATCAGTTGCAATGAAACAGTGCACCTATAATTTTACTTTCCACTTTGACAAGCTGTGCGAAAAGCTCTTGTGTCTTGAGTTAGAAAAGAAATCGATGTATGTGACCATATGTTTCGTCTTGTTATCATTAGATAATTCTCTGAATGATTAAATTTTATCAAAGAAGGTAACACTTATATAATTACCAGAAAGATGAGAGGTTCACATAATGTTAGGTGTGAGTGTATTTAATCGGATAACATGAGAGAAATGGATGGAATAGATGTTGAGATGTCGATTTAGAAAGTGAGGAAGTTAGTTGAAAAAAAGACCATTACGTGGATTCTGATGCTCAATGATGCTTGGTTTCTCTGTCTGAACACCAATCGGTTCTTGCTGTGATAGAATTGAAAGTTATTTGATGGCTTGATCGTGTTCGTACTCTTCAGAGGAGTATACTGACTTCAACGAAGTTAAATTTTTCTCTATTACAATTAACACTTAATGTGCCTTACTTTACAAAAATATT